ATATATATATATATATATATATATATATATATATGTAGTCGGAACTTAATTCGTACATGAAAATAGAGAAGAAAGGGAAAGTTGGTAGTAGTGTGCCGAAACCAATGTACGGGTAGGCCTGTAATAAAGAGGGCCCACCAGAGGTAATGTAATGATGATAATAAGTTTATTAGAGGGAGCGGTTGGAGGGGTCACTCTAACAGGAACCAGCATAGGTAAGCAGGGGGGTAGAGCTTTTATAGGGAAAACTCCTCCCACAAATTCAGGCCTATAGCCTTTTACTTGTTGTCGGAACTTAATTCGTATATGAAAATAGAGAAGAAAGGGAAAGTTGGTAGTGGTGTGCTGAAACCAACGTACGGTTAGGCCTGTAATAAAGAGGGCAAAAGATATTGCGGAAAACACACTTTATTCATAATTTACAATGCTAGACCTTTGAAGGCTTTCCTAATTTCTTTCTCAGGATGTGGAATATAAGTGCTGTAAACAGAGGATTTCCATCTGCCCAGTCTTTTGATGATATGGACTGGTGTGTCCATGCTAGATGCTGAGGAGGCTGCCCCAATTCTAAAGGAATGACCAGAAAACGCAGATGGGTTATGTCCCAATCTTAGCAGTATTGTTCTAACGTGGGTTATGAATTTTAAAGTGGTAAGTGGGGAGACTGAAGTTTGTGGATAGAAATAAGTCGAGTATTTTAATGGGACATCAGAGGTTCTCTGTAGGAAACAGAGGGATTGTAGTTGGGTAGTTTGTGTGGATCAACAGCAAAAAAACAAATGTGAGGAAGGCTGAACTTGATGAGCGCAAGTCTCTTTTCAGCTATGTAACTATGTAACTAGGTTAGTTATTTTATTCCCCCCTCGCTATTTTTTAGGGTGAGGGGGGTAGGTAGGGGGTAACCTTTTTTTTCACTAGGGGCTTGGGGACAGTAGGTCCTCCCCCCTCATTATCTTTATGGCCCCCACCACGCAGGGGTGGGGGCTGGGGGAGGACAATAGGGCCCCCACCCGCCGCACAGGGGTGGGGGCCGGATAGTAGTTGTTTTTTTTTTTTTTTAAATAAAAAAACTGAGCCTAAGAGATAACTCTCACTGGATAGGAGTCTCTTATATGCACCTGGAAGAAAATTGTGGATATGTGTAATAATTAAAATGTATGATTGTAAAACGGAACAAAATAAGAGATTTTTTTTTTATTTTATTTTTTATTTGGTGTGTAGTAATTATGTGTCTAAAGTTTGTCAATGGTATTGCTAGCCTAGGTTGGAAACGGATAGCGCTACAGGAGATTAGTAAGATCGTGTATAGAGGTTCCTGAAAGTAGGATGATTAAGACAAGCCCCTTAACTGAGCATTACCGTGTAAACGTACAAGGCAATATGAGACCTTGATGTACCGGTTATGACAGAATATGAGCGTAAGAAAATGGGCGTACGTTAATAGAAATACATGAAACACAATTGGCCGGAAGAAAAATTCTGTCCCCGTTTAATCAGGAAACTTGCTAATCCTAGAAATAGGCACCTAAGATACACATATGATATGAGGACAATATGAGTACTGTGCAAAGGAACTCCGTATATACAGATTAGTATGTAATTAGGTATGAGCTAACGGACGTTAGTTATAGTGGCAGACGTATTAGAATTAGTATCCCATGAGGTAAAACCCCAGACCCTTGCATTAACTGATTATGTAATACACTGTTTTATATATATATATATATATATATATTTTTTTTTTTTTTTTCAAGTTAAATAATCATGTAGCAGGGGATGGTGAGGGAAGTAATGTCACTGGCCCTTAGGATCCAGGGAATTAACCTGCAGATATGTGCAATAACATACTGAAGTGTCTATTATATTTTAAATAATGTCTAGGAACTGCTTGGCCTCAGTCAGTTTAATTTGTACAAATATGTGAATTACCCAATGTAATAGTGACATGCAAAATTCCAACAAATAGTAGGAAACCAATAACAGTGGCAGTCTTTATATATTTTAGGGTTTTAATGGGCATATGATTTAGCTAACGTACGAATGATAAAGTGAACCATGCGGCTTAATAACCGAGTGTATGAAGCAGATGAACGGATACACTTGGTTTAAATTAAATATATAATGAACAGTATTTAAATGAAAGGGATTGCAGGAATGGATTTAAATGAAGAGTTTTAGACGAATGCTTTAACAAAATGATATAAACGAAATGATTCATATGAATTGATTTAAACAAAATAATAGGTTTAAAGGAAGTGATATAAATGCAAGGTTTAAACGAATGCCATTTTAATGAATGGATTAACTAATGCAAAGTAAACGAACGTGTGACAAACTGCCATTTGCCACTGGGCATTGGAGAGGACTGATTGCCAGCCTCCTACCTTCTGACTATGGCCCTGGGATATATGGCATTTGAAAACACTATTTGTGCCCTGTGAAAAAACTGGAGATTGTGCACAAATATGACTATTGTCCATAATTTTTATGATTCCCTTCGTTTGTTGCACTGTTCCCCATGTGTTTCATCTGTTTGTTCGGCTGGATAGACTACCAGACAAACTGTGGAGTTACTGGGTGGCCACCATTTCATGTATCAGAGGCACATGGTGAGAACAATGGGTGAAGCACATGGTGAGAACAATGGATGGTGGCCAGTGGCCATTTTAACTCACAGACACTGTTTTGACTTTTCTACACGGTGCCATCTCGCCGGTATTTGGTGCACAAAGACATTGTTCAGTAGTTTTAAACTACAGAACAGGGGACACATTTAACAGTAATTATTTTTCATATAGCTTGTATATGTTCTGCGGAATCTGCATTAAACCGTATCTTCCAAACTACTAAACGGATCTAGGTGAATTTTGGATATGTGGTTCACCCAGATCCCCCGGTTCCGAGGATATATTTTTATGGGGTTATTGCATGTTTTGGTTTCCCTGTGATATGTTTTATAATACTGTATTTTCCTGTCTGTGATAATTAAGTTAGTCTATTTTGTTGAGATAATTGTATCACAGACAGAGGGGAGGATTTCTGCTGGGAGTGGTTTACTTTATTGTATGTGTTGTACTGTTTCTATTGGTTCTTCTGAAAAACCCTGTGGGCGGTCCTGTATGTGTAAGACCTCCATAAAAGAAGGCCCTTTGGTGCTAATTAAACACAGTTCTTCTTGACCCTCAACACGTAGTCTTGTCTCGTGATTGGAGGGGACAGCTATATTTACACTGGGGATTGCTATGCTCTGCATACTCCCTTGAGCTTTAATCACTTAGATCTTTTAAGAGCTTGTTCCTGATATGCTCTCTTGCAGGAGAGGTCTTCCCCATACGGTCCTGGAGGACAGAAGATGATCCAGGGTGGACAGAAGACGGCGAGACTCCAATTAAGCTACGGCGGTTGTGGAGTCTGCGGTGGTTGTGGTGTCCGGTGCGGTGCCTGTGGTCCTCGGCGTAAGCTCGGAAGCGTCCATCAATGGAAGGTACTCGGTCGGAGTACGGGGAGGTCCGTTACACCAAGAATTAGCTTAAAGATTCTAGCGAAGAAACCTAAGAAGGGAGGATTAAATTTTCCAAATATAAAACATATATATTATGCAAATATAATCAGACATGTGTATAAGTTACAGGAAGAATTAATGATATTAGAACCCTGGTTTATTATTGAAGCTGAAGCCACAGAGACTAGTAAACGTGAATATTATTTGTGACTTAATAGTAATAAAAAATGTATGGATTCTCTTGTAAACAAATCTTTAATTTTATCCCAGCTATTACAAACTTGGAAGAAATGAAAAAAATTGTTATGTATAACCCAATGTTTACCTAAATCATGTAGGTTAAGTGTACTAGAACAGAACATGGATGAACTGTCATTAAGGCACTAGCCAAATAGTAACATTATTAATCTACTAACAGAAATTATGAAAGATAAACTAATATCATTTCAACAATTGGTTAATGACTTCCAGGTTCACAGCAGAGAAATTTTCACATATTTAGGAATTAAAACTTTTGTAGACAAAAAAGTCTTAAAATCTTCATCACAATGTATGGATCATATAGAAAATATTTTTGGTTACAAAACTGTGAATAAAGTCACCTCTAAAGCAAATCATCTTATGCATTTGCTAAATGATAATCCAGAAAAAATTATAAAAGCCTGGGAGAAGGACTTAGAATCAGAAATATCTTATAACGAATGGTGTATAGCCTTAAATCAATTATATAAAAACATCCATTGCTTAAACCTGGTTGAATGCCAATTTAAAATTATGTATAAGTGGTACCTAACTCCCATGAGGCTAGCTAGAATGTACCAAGAGTACAACTCGAGCTACTGGAGATGTGGTATTCATACAGGATCTTATATCCACATTTGGTGGTCATGCCCTATCATCAAACCCTTATGGTCCTGGGTTTTTAACATTTACCAAGAGATGACAGGTATTAAGTTAAATTGGAGTCTGGAAATCGCTCTTCTCCATTTAAAATTGAACTTAAAATCGAATAATGATATTTGCATAGCTGTTCACTGTTTTATAGCTACTAAGATCATAATAGCCAGAAATTGGAGATCTTCCTTGCCTTTTCAGAAATGCCACCTTATTAGTCAAATTAAATTGCAACTAGATATGGGAAAAAAACTTCTAAATAATCACATTAAACAATTAAATAAAATAGGATTATATGAAAAATGAGTGAATAAACTGTTGTTTTTACGGTCAATACCCTGACGCTTGCGGAAGTTGTATAATTTGTTACATTGATGTAGGATTTCCTATACTGCTCTGATTATTTAATTGTCTATCTGTACCATCTGTCTTTATTGTACTGTGTGATGTTCAGATGAGTTACTTACGCTTGTCTAGTCAGTGTTTCTGTATTAATACACTAAAGATATTGTTGTATGGACAATGCATGTTTTATACGTTAAAAATTTCAATAAAGATATATATTAAACAAATTACGGCCTCTGATGTAGCAGTGGCCCGCCAGGAGGGCATGCTGCTGGCCATGAGATGCCAATTAGAGGATGTGGATAACAGAGGCCAGAAATGTAACATCAGGGTACGGGGGGTACCCAAAGTAGACGGGGAAGAGAATGTGGGTGAGACGCTATCTGGTCTCTTCAGGGCACCCCTACCGACGACAGTGCCAGCACAGTTTAAATTTGAAAGGGCCCATAGGGGCGCAAGATCAAATCTAGGAGAGAATTTACCCAGAGACCTTATATGCTGTATGCACTCCTTCCTGATCAAGGAGGCCATCATGAGGAGGGCCCGTGATAGGCCTACTTCGGAATACCGCGGAGCGCAGGTGTCATTATACAATGATCTCTCCCCTCTCATGCTTGAAGCGCGGCTTGCCATAAAACCTGTGACCTCAGCCTTGCGAGAATGCAACATATCCTACAAGTGGAGATTTCTATTCGCATTGCTGGTGAGACATCAGCATGGCTGGACCTCCGTAAGTTGGCCGTAGGAGGTCCCTCTATTCCTAGAGGAGCTGGGATTACCTCACATCAGTGTCGCTGATTGGGTTCTGGGTCCCTTGGAGCGGAGGCCTCGGCCACAAAGAATTCCCAAGAGTCGTGGAGAAGGGTCCCCGCCGGGCCCTCTGTCCTGACGGTGCCGGAACCTGGTAAATGAATGTATATGATGGATTCCACCTGCCTGATCCTGTTTGCATTGCTCTGCTGAGCACCTCAACCCGAAGATGAGGGCTCCAGCACTTCATCCTGCTTCAACTCCCTTTTAATTTTAATTTATATATTTTTAAAAAATGTTTATTGTTTCATTTTATATATTATTTTTTGGGGCGTGAGATGGCCTGAGATGGCGTGAGATGGCCTGCCTCCAGAGGATCACTACTTGCATAGGAGTTCTTTGGAGTGGGGGTTGTCTGGGGGTTTTACATGTCTTTCCCCTTGAACTGCTTAACTCGCTTTTTATTTTTATTTATTTATTTATTTATTAATTATTTATTCATTTATTTTATTTATTTATTTTCTTGTTGTGGCGTGAGATGGCAAAGCTCGATGGTGTGACCTGCTTCCAGAGGGTCACTAACGGCATATGAGTTCTTTGGGGGGGGGTTTGTCTTGGTTGGACACTACAGCCTTTTGGGATTATGCCTACTTACCCACCTATACCCTATTAGGTACAGCCTGCCCAGTGGACAGGAGGGACATCCCTATCCTTGCCCTTTTTATTTTTTCCATTTTTTAAAATGTATTTATTTTTCTCGTTGAGCTTGCACTACACAGCAGCAGACTAGATGGGCCTTCATCACAACCTGAAAGCTTCTCAAGATTTACCTGGGGGACTACTACAGGAGCGTGGGATGAGGGTGTCATGTGGTTTTATTTGGAAGGGATTTTTGGGACCTGGCAAGCTCCTCATGTTACTTGTGACTACAATGTACCTGGCTTACTTATGATTATGAATATACTTTGGGTATGCTTCTGGTTGCTGGAGAGGGTGGGGGGGACACGAGGAAGAGCTGACAGGAACTAAAGGCAAGCTCACAAGGCTTTATAAGCTGGGGCAGATGCTACTGCATGAGTAGAGGCCGCTGGGGTGCTGCCGGAGAGACAGGGAGCATAATGTCCGGCAGATGGGGGTGGAGGGCCATATGTCGCTGGGTTAGGGGGTAAGATATTAATCCAACTCAGTAATGACGGACCCCCACAAGAACCCCGTTTTCCGTGGACCCTCATGTTACACCTTCCCACGTCTCACTCAACAAGTCCCCTGCACTCCCCGCATGAGGGCATCTCCAGGGCTAGAAAAAGGTAATTCAATTAAGATAACATAGGGTTTTGGAGTGCGATGGGTTGCTTTGTGGGCTCTCCCCGGTGTGCTTGATGCCCCCCTCTCCCCTGAGGTGGACTGAGTGGCCCTGCCCTCCATTATCCTAGTACCATATGTCGCCCTCATAGCAACGTGTCCCCACTCCATGGCGACATATATTACTAGGATTCTGGAGGGCTGGGCCACTCAGTCCACCTCAGGGGAGAGGGGGGCATCAAGCCACCAAGGGGGGAGCCCACAAAGCAACCCATCGCATTCCAAAACCCTCTGTTATCTTAATTGAGTTACCTTTTTCTAGCCAGGGGACTTGTTGAATGAGACGTGGGAAGGTGTAACATGAGGGTCCACGGAAAACAGGGAAAACAGGGTTCTTGGGGGGGGGGTCCATCATCTGGCAGGTGCTACTGCTGGGGAACGCTTGGCGCAACATGTGCTACTATGTTCATTGTACAACGCAGAGTTCCATACAAAACACGTATAATGTTTGTGAACCAGGAATAACTTGTTAGCCACTGCAACTTTAATCCTAAAGTTGTGGTGGGAAAACGATAATAGTCCAGGAAGCCACATGTGTAACATGTAATAACCATTTCATAATTTTTTAATAATAACTGTTTTAGGAATGATACTTTGTTGCAATGCATGCGCTGTTTCATATGTTAGTACATATCTCAGATTTTGAATGATTACACAGATGGGAGACATGGGGGCCTGAAGGGGACTTTTCTTGCTCCTTTTCTCTTTACATACTTATCTCTCGCATCTTTCTTCACTGTCCTCTCTCACAGACCTTACTACATTGACATGGAGGTGGAAAGAGCTGATTTACACAACTGACACAGGAAGCCTTATGGAACCACAGGCAGATATAGACATAAGCTATTATTGGGGAAGGCTCTATAATTATACTTAGAATGAAACATGAGTTCCCAGCCTGCAATTATACAACACCTGATAATGCAAATGGAACCGCACAAGCTGTATATCTGTGTAATATCTGCATGTATTTGTGTTGTGGGGCCTGTGTGCCTACAACTCTTCTGTCTCCATATCTATAAAAACTCAATAAAAAAAGATTTCACAAAAAAAATAACATAGCTAAAACACAAGCTCTGCCAATAAATATGAGTAGGCAAGTTAAACTGCAGTTACCCAGACTTTTACCTTTGACTGGTGGGACGAAACACTTCAATATCTGGGGTGCTACTCGCCACTTCCAAACGAACATTGATACAACACAACCATTTAAAATTACTAAGCAAATTCCAACACATGATACACAAATGGATAGTACGTATCAATACAACAAAAATTATGGTGCTGCCTTGTATACTATTCTTCTTCCGTACCCTACCAATTGATGTACCTAACCCAATCCTAGCCAAGTTTCAAAAGCTTTTAAATGCACAAATATGGAAGTGCAAACCTCCAATGGTATTGGAACACACTATGAGTATTAAATTTCATGGGGGCAGTTTGGGTGTGCCAATTATACGACAGTACTACGTAGCCACTTTAATGACCCAGATTGTGTCCGTCACCACAACCCTGGACCCGCCACTGTAGTATCAGCTTGAAAAGTCTGTGATCTCTCCCCACTCGATATCGGACCTTATCTGGGTTCCCCAAAATAGGCAAGCCACAAGCAAAGCCACTAACTGTGACTAAATTGTCCCTGAACACATGGAGCATAAGGGCCAAGAGGATATTAGGTAGTGCTTCCCTACCTGACTGGGCGCCCCTGACCACCCTGACATATTATTACTTTTCCTCTAACCACAGTCCCTCAGTTGTCCTATGCTCATTTGCACACGCTACAGCAGAAGAGGTTTCCGCTCTGCTCCATTCCTCCCGCCCCACCACCTGTTCCCTCAATCCTATTCCCTTGTATCTCATTCGCAACTTTGTCTCCTTCTTTTGCTCTGCCTCTCACTAAAATTTTTAATCTTTCACTCTCCTCTGGCACATTTCCTCTTCCTTTTTAACATGCAATCTTAACCCCAATTCTGAAAAAGCCCAACCTTGACCCTAATTCCCCATCCAACTACAGCACCTATCTCGCTACTTCCGTTTGTCTCCAAGATCCTTAAGAGAGTTGTGTATGCGAGATTGACAGACTTCCTCGAGGCAACTCTCTGCTTGACCTGCTTCAATCTGATTTCCACGCTTGTCACTCTGTTGAAACAGCTGTGACCAAAGTATACAATGGTCTTATAACTGCTAAATCCCATGGCCACTACTCTATCCTAATTCTCCTTGACTATTCTGCTGCTATTGACACTGTTGGTCATCAACAGCTTCTTCTCATCCTCCGTAATCTCGGTCTACGAGATACTGCTCTGTCCTGGTGCTCTTCTAGCCTCTCCCAGCACTCATTCAGTGTTTCTTTCTCTTGCTCTGCCTCTTCTCCCCAGTTCCTCTCTTTTTGTGTTCCCCAAGGGTCTGTCCTTCATCTGCTATTGTTCTCAATCTACACTGCCTCCCTTGGTAAACTCATCAGCTCCTTTGGCTTTCAGTAGTTCATTTCTACGCGGATGAAACACAAATGAATCTATCCATCTCCTGATTTCTCACCACTCCTCTTGACTATTGTCTCTGACTGCCTCTCTTCTATTTCCAACTGGATACCTGCTCATTTCCTTAAACTGAACCTGTCCAGAACAGAACTTCTGATTTTATCTCCTGTAACGGAATCACCCGTACTCCAATCGAGTACCTTCCGTTGATGGATGCTTCCAAGCTTGCGCCGAGGATCACAAGCACCGCACCGCACCGGACACCACAACCACTGCAGACTCCACAACCGCTGTAGCTTAATTGGTAGTCTCGCTGTCTTCCTTCCACCCTGGATTAGCTTCTGTCTTCCAGGACCGTGTGGGAAAGACCTCTTCCTTCCACCCTGTATTAGCTTCTGTCTTCCAGGACCGTGTGGGAAAGACCTCTTCCTTCCACCCTGTATGAACCTCCAACATCCAGGACTGTGTGGGAAAGACCTCTCCGCCAGGAGAGCGTATCAGGAACAGCTCTTAGAAGAGCTAAGTGATTAAAGCTCAAGGAAGTATGCAGAGCATAGCAATCCCCAGTGTGAGTATAGCTGTCCCCTCCAATCACGAGACAAGGCTGCGTGTTGAGGGTGAAGAAGAACCCTTTTAATCAGCACCAAAGGGCTTTCTTTTTTGCAAGTCTTCTGTGACAAAAGGGACACAAACCAATGGGAACACTAATTAACAAAATAACACTCCCACATACACAGTAGAAATCCTCCCCTCTGCCTGTGACAGAATTACTGTACACAAGGGGCTAATGTAATTTTCACAGGCAGGAAAATATACAGTTTTTATACAATTCCTATAACTTTAAAAGTACACATGCAATATTAATAAAAGTTACATATTCTAACTCAGCATAATTAGTATACAAACATATGCAAAAATCATACACTTTGGTCCAGATGGAAGTCCTATTTGACCGACTGTAAGCTGTGCAGCCGGTCTATCTTCTCCTGGAGATAATTGGCTTAAGTGGGTGTGATAACCTAATTATCTCCAGGTACAGTGAATATCT